CTCACCATGACTCTCATTCAGAATATCATCAGGTCTTGCTCACATCATCATATATGACTCCAAGTTAGTTTTGATCCTGCAAATACTTTCATCACATGACAGCCAAAGTGACGTATTACAAAGAAGTAAATATGTTACTTGCCTGCTGAAAAGCTTTCATCATCTACATTATTCAAGTGCAAACTGTTTAGCCAAAGCTCTTAAGAGCATTCACCTTCCAAACACAACCGGTAGCTCCCCTCCCCTCATATACCAGTCAGACTGGACTACTGTCAATTCTCCTAACACTCCATGTTCTCGCCCCCAGTCTTTTGTAAACAGATTCTGTATTCCTCTACTTAGGCACTCACTTCTCAGCCTCCTCACTCAGCTGCCCACCTTTACTCTACCCGATAGATTTCACCTCTAGGAAACATTCTTTGAATTCTATTCTTCCTGAGTCAGAGTTAGGTCTGAAACTGAGTCTGAGACATTTCAGTCTCCATTCCTCCTGAGTATATCCTTCTAGACGTTTCAGCAGAATTCTATACTCTTCCCATCGTAGCGTTTTTATTTTTTCCCTTTTTATCATCATTCCCTCACTAATCCTTCCCACAGACATTAGCCACATGAGGACAGGAGCACTGTCGTATCCCTGGTGCCCAGCAGAGTGGCCAGCACACGGAAGGGCATCAACAGCCATTCAGAGATGACTAAGTCAATGCTGCACCACTCGCTGCTCCTCAGACCGGGGACCATGGTGAGTGTGTGGTAGTGTGCTAGAAACACAAACATGATGATCCATTACTCCCCCACTGGAATGATCATCAGTGTATAATGGAATGGAGTGAAAAACTTGTATACATGTATTTGACAACGCATGAATTACCATATACATTTCCCACGTGCTTTGGGCTCTTCAGCCTCAACTCCAGAACTACAGAGTCATATTTTCCTCTTTTTTGTCAAAGATATTCAACAGAAAAACTCAGAAGTGTGACACCATCCCCAATGTTATATTCTATCCCGAAGTTCTTTCATTTTTAAATAGCATATATTTTATGCAAATAATTATATGAACATAGTTTCATATATAGCATTGGTAAAAAGATGGCCTTATTTATTTATTTATTTATTTTTATTTATTTATCTTTTTGGAGAGGTTTTTGCTATAGGGCACGTGTGCTTGCCAGAAAGACAGAGAGAGACAAAGAGACAGAAAGCAAGAAATCACTCCCCAGGGGGGATGGTCACGCCGCAATCCCTTCTCCTCCATTCTCCTCTTGGGATCTTGGGCACGCACGCACACGCCCCTGGCGTGAGTTTAAGCAAACAGGTCCGGGACTCGAACCGGGGTTGACTACATGGGAGTCCAGTGACATAGCCATTATGCTAACCACTGATCCCAAAAGATAGCTTTTATTTTTAACAATTCAAAATGAACTTTGTTATAGTAAAAACAAAAATTTTACAACTAAACCAAACCTCACGTATCTACATAAGTCTTGTACACATACATTATTATATATGGTGCACATACATTATTAGAATGAAGAGAAATATCTGCAAGAATACAAAAAAGGCTGTTAACATTGGGACTGGTCATAATAGAGGGTGGGAGGGAAACAATTTGCTTTGCTTTTATCTTCATATTTTTATTCACTCACTACAAGCATATGGAGGAAAAACATTCAAATAATTAATACTTTAATAAGCAAAAATGGAGCTCCGACGGTTACCTGCCAATCCTGAAAATAGGGGTATATTCCAGTGGCTGGCAGTTGGTGTGGTAGTTAAGGCACTGGACTCTCACTTGGCTGACAGCAGTTCAAGTCCAAGACCTGGAAACTTGCTTTCTTGCTTTCCTTTTCTCTCTGGTCAGATTTTAAAAAATAATAATAATATACAGAATTAAATAATTCTTTAGAAAAAGACTACATTCTGATTCTAGTTCATCATCAGTTCTCATTTTTTCAAAAGGAAATCATAAGGGAACCAG